ACGCGCGGCCGCTCGATAACGACGCGTCAGCCGCTAACGGCCTCGATAACGACGCGTCGTTATCGAACTTTGAGCGTCCCTAATGTCTCAATAACTTACGAAGGATGCCGCTATTTCCGCTATCGCGTCACTGCAGACGAGCAATGCTTGGACGACCGGCTTCAAGTACTTTCTCAGCTCTCTCCACCTCTTGCTCCTACTTCGAGAGTGTTCTAGTCCATCAATCGTTTCGTCCAGTACCGTGCACACGTCTTCCACGGTGTTGCAGCCCAGCATCCGCTGCTCCATCGATGACCACCGCGTGGACTTGACATTGGTGCTTTGTTGGAACTTGCGCAAGGCCTCGCCCCAGAGCGTTCTGAATGTATCCATTGGCTCGTTCACAATCAGCTCACGATTAATAATGTCCGAAGGCCCGTCAGCCGTAGCTCCTAAACCTGAAGCCATCGCGAGTAGTGCTTGAGCAAGCTGGAGCGGTGAGGGAATCAAAGGGATACCAGATGGTGGTGTGAGGACGAGGGGAGGGGCGATTCCAAGAACGACGCAGGTCTCGCTGTGTCCTAGGACGGTGCTCCTAGGCATGCGGCAGACATGTGGCGAGGAATCTTCGACGAGTGACCGTGTACGAGGCGCCGAAGAACGAGATGAGCGCTTGCTTTACATTAGCACTGCCGACTCGCGCAGCTTGTCTTGCTTTCGTACGCGGAAATGTTCAAGCTTCCAAGGATAACTACGCGTAAGCCGCGATCGGTACGTTGAAGGTAGAACACGCATTCATTGGTCTTAGATGGTGGTGGTCCAATGCTGAGTTGGGTTCGCGCGCGACCGATTCGCGTCGGGGAAGGTCGGGAATCGGCCCGAGTGGGTGTCCACACGGCGATGAACGCGCTGCACCTCTCCTGGTTCAATGAGACGCACATTGATAATGTATACTCGGCGTATAAGTCTACATTCCAATCGTAACGCTGCCGGAGGACGGCATGAGTGCTCTACTCTGGGCCGCACGAGATGGGTGCGCTCAAGCGCTCAGAGCGCTCAGAGGCGCGTCGTTGCTTGAGATGAAGAGCACCGCGTCGCTGCCGCGTGCACATACATGCTAAGCCCAGTTTCGATGCGAGAAGTCGTCTTTCAGGGTCTTGAGTAGGAGAGCGATGGTCTTGTGGGTCTTCATGAGACCTCCAGCTTAGTACAGCTCTGAGCAAGACCATTTTTCGAAGCAGGGAAGCTTCAACGCCGTGAATTTCTAGTCGCGGTTCGGCCGTGAGAGCACCGAGGCTTGCCCAAGGTGGCGAACGAGCGCACTCCACCGCTCATCCTCGTACATGTTCGCGGTATGCTAGCTGGCATACAGGGTACTCCATCAGCAACCACTTGCCTCGGACTCCGTCGCTCAGAACCCCCGGCATAGTCTACGTTCAACCCTTCCTTCCCGTCCCTATGCAACCGATCGCAATCACGATCGTGACAACTTTGAAGTGAGCTATGCAGCTTTGCAGGTATGATAGCTCATTCAGCAATTGACAGTGGGAGTAGAAGTACAACGTGCAAGAACGACCGAATGTAACCATGTACGAAACGAACAAGTGTGCGCATGAACCGAGAACCGAGAACCGAGAACGTATGCATGTACAATACCGAGAATGATGCGAGGGGGCATGAGAAATGCATCGAGAAAGCATCTCACAGAGCACCCCCGCCCAGGGCCCAAGAAAAGCAGCAACAGCAGCGTCCGACATCACAACCGTCCACGATCCACACCTCCCACCATCCTCCTCCCCCGGCCCCCCTCCACTTTGACAGGAACACTGAGGACTACAGATCGCGCGCCTTCAACACCTCATTCCGCTCTTTCTGCCTCTTTGCCCTCTCCGCCTCGCCCGGCGCCGCGCGGCGGAACAGTTCGAGCTTTCGTTCGCCGCACCATAATCTCAGCGCGACGTTGCCCAGTCCGTGCCCGCCACACCCTCCACCATTGACTCCCGTAACGTTCACATGCAAACTCGCATTCGGATCCTGCGCATCGAGAGAGGGCTTCGGCACAGCGCCCAGCCCCGCTGCCAACGCGTCCGCGCCCCTCAGCGCATCGAGCGCATGCGGCGGGTCCGTGCGCGCTTAATGGGCCGTGCCAAGCGCGAGCAGGGCGGCGCCGGTATGGTTCGAGCTTTGTGAGGGACACGACGCGGCGGAGGTGGGATCTATTGAGGCAACGAGTCGTTAGCGTGAGGTTCTCGGGGAGGGATAGAGGAGGGTATGATGGGGAAAGAGGGAGTGAGAAGGAATAGGACGTACGCGCTCTTGAGAATCTCCTCACTAAGCACCGCGCCTCGTCATCTCCAGAGCATTGACTTGTCCTTCACACGCTTTGAATACGCGCTCAGCTTCGTCGATAATATGGGCACAGGTTCATTGTGCCAGTACAAGCGTGTTCGAAGTAGAGTTAGAGGGTCAATAACGCACGTCGCGCGCATGTTGAAGGGACGTATATTTCGCGCGTGGGCCGCAGAAGCCGCGCTCCAGCGAGGACGGTATACGTTCATGGGCGACGACAAGAGCGAGTCTTCATCACCGTGTACAGACAGTTGGTGTGGTGCATTCTGACTGCTTGGCGAATGAGAAATAACTCACACCAGCGACCCCGGGAGTTAGGGGGCTGAGACCGGGTGCGCCAGAGGGTTCTTTCACAGATGTTTAGTACGATCTTGTCATCGACCGCGCAAGTACAGCCATGAGCGCTCAAAGCGGACGCGCGCGCTTAGCATGTTCTAGGCGCAACATGATCACGTGCGACGCGTCGCGTCAATCTCACGCTTTGCGTTCGAACGCGTCTCTTGTCGGCATGCATGGTGATGAGGAAGCGGACACTCAGTCCACACTGGGACACAATTGATCTATGAGCGTCCCGAGTATCTGAATGAGCGACCCCAAAAAGCCCGCTGATGCGGGCCATCGGCGTGCAGCTCTCGCAGTGCCAGTGGGTTCAGGTTGTTCGTTGTTCCAGGCACCGTTTCCGGCTGGGTATAGCTATCCTCATACTCGTCGCGGTCCGTCATGATATGGCGGGTACTAACTTTTCTGCTGCCAGCCAGAGCGACAATAGGGGTTCCGCGATCGCACGAGGGACACTCAAGAGCATCATAGTATGGCATTGCTCTAAATTCTGTGGCCATAACTATAGTCATACTACATCACGAGCCGTAATCAACAACGAATCAATGTAGGGAGGGAACATTCACTGTGTACGCTCATCGAGAAACTTGTGGACAGAGCTCTGTAGGGCTTCCAAGACGTCAGCTCCTACTAGAGCGCACGTTTCGTTTCGTGTCGTGTTGACTCTCCCTTTGCAGTCAACTGGGCCCATCATCACCAGACGATGGACAGGAGCGCCTCCCGCCGCACGCGCCTCGATAATAGGAACCAGGCCCGCCAGCCATCCAGCGCCGGCCGCATCATGATGGCAAGCAGCTGTTTCATCCACCCTCACTCCGTACCACCGTTCCCCGTCGCAGAGGTCCGGCTGGTCCCCGGCGCTGATTGCCAAGGACTTCAAGCGAGGGAAGGGAACCTTCAGGTCACCATCAGAGCCGCGCGGAGCGAGCGCCGTCAAGACGTCCCGCGCTCTGCCCCACACATGCAATTCGGTAACCGCGTCGAAGGTCTGGAATGCCAGGGTCATCTCTTCACTCCATGGACCTTTTAACGCCTTGAGGACGACCGTAGTGATGTTTCCAGAGATGCGTGTGGATAGTGGGTAAAGCATGTTGTCGAGAGTGGTCGCGTCGATGCCAATGACGACCCCATCTACGGCCTGGGTGTCAACACTTTGGGGGCTATAGACCGGAATGGGTTTCCCAGGAGCATGGACTTGAACGACGAGATCGCCAATGGGATCCGCAGCGATCCGTAGAGTGGTGCGCGATGAGCGAGCCAGTTGAGATGTCAACGCGTGCACGAGAGCTTGGCATGCGCTCTTCGACTCGGCGACTCCGTTGACGTTGCTGCCCGGGATGACGATCGACGTAGCGCTTGGAAGTCGCAACTTCTCCATGAAAGTCGATATGCATCCAAAGCTGTCGGCGGAGCAGTGGAAATACTGCAGACAGGAAAGTTGGATAGGGTCTTCGAGGATAGCTTGACCGGCGTTCCTGGCTGGGACGTTGCCGATGCGAAGGTCGATCAAGTTGGGAAATCCACGTAGACGGGATAACAGGGTAGAAAAGCTGATTCTAGTCGTTCCGTCGTACACGAGGACGCGAAGGTCCGGCGCAACGATCGGAAGATCCAAAGTTAGCAAACACCTATTGAGGTGAATGGCTACCAGGGGTTCGTGGACTGCGTCCAAGTCGTCCAACACAGAGTGAAGGTAGAGCGTTCGCAGGAGCGGGAGCTCTTTCCCAGAGAGATGGGATGGCCATAATGCATGCCGAACCGGGGTCCTGAAACTTGGCCGATAGGACAGACTCCTGATGTTTGCCAGAACTCTGGCAACGATGTCACAGCGACGCAGTGTGATGCTCTTGAAGGTCAAGTCTATGGTGTAAGGGCAGTCTCGAGCTCGCTGTATGGCGGTATCAACAGCGTCTTCGGACTCGTACACACCGACGACGGTCGCCCAGAGAGTTGCTGTGCTGAGGCCGACGTCGCGCCATTAGGGACGCTCAAAGTTCGA